GTTACTAATTAATAAAGCATACGTCACTAACCTGCTCATGTTGCCAGCATCAGTCTGCTGTTCTAAGAGCCGGACCACAACGTCACTCATGCTTTATTTATGAGACTGAGAGAACATCTGANAAGATGTGAAGTTTTCACCTGATGAAGGTTACCATCACTCAGAAACTAAGTCACAGCTCTTAGTTTACAGCACAGATAAAATGAAACTCATCATAATCAGACTTGATGAACCAGCAATGGTCTCCTTCTTTCTCCATGGCTCCACTGGTGTCACAGTTTTCTTTTGGTTCGCCTGTCTTTATGTTGGAGTTGCAGGTGTCACAAAATTTTCCACAAACAGTTTAGAAGAGTAGTTCTAGTGTCTCTTTGTTCCTTTGGTAGGTGAATGACAGGACCAAGGTTACGAAAAACACGTGAAGACTTCTGACATTGTTCACAATAGTCATCTGTGTACAGCTCATAGTCTGTTAATGACATATTGGGTCAGACAGTGTGACATATCAAACAAAAAGACTCCTGGCTTGTCCTGATGTATCACATCCTTCATTTTCAGTGTTTCAATTATTTCATTCTGAACTGCAAAAACTTCATCTGGGGGGAAATATCTTCCTGGATGGTGCATTGCTGTAAAGAAAAACCTCACAAACAATGGAGTCTCTGTAGAAAGTCCAGATACTGAGCCATAAACCTTCTGGTAATAATCAAGTTCATAATGCTATGTGTTGTGGCATTCATCCAAGTGTTGAAGAATGAGTTGGAAAATTTGCGAAAGTACATGGTTGGCTCAAGATTAACATCCACGCTGTTGAAATATTCTGTGTCATTTTGAATTTCATTTTCTGAGTTTTCTTCTGCTTAAGAGGATGCTCAAAAATTTCTTCAAAATTTGTCACAATTTCCTTGCTGTCACATCTTGGTTTCACATCCAGGTCCTCTATGTTTTTGGGAAGACTGGTAAAGACACTGTTTGTAATGTCTGTGTTGATAAAGAGTTAGCTGTGGTTGTAAAAGTAACTCAAACAACCTGTGAGCAAGCAAACACATCCAGGTCCATTTGGTCATGAGGAACATTGAGACTTTCAAAAACAACAAAGTCTCCTGATGCCTTTACTGTTAAATCCATAGTTGTGGTTTTCACGGTAAGTTTCTCATCCTAAGAAGAATCTTCCATGTCCTTTTGGTCTTCAGGGTTCAATGTCCAAAAAGTCCAAACCAAAGTATTTTGATCTCTCATCCTCAGAGCTCTCTACTAAAACGTCTTTGCCTCTTATGCTCTATCCTAACAACTTTTCAACTCCCGTCGTAACAAGAAATCCAAGGTCCCATCAATATCAAAAATCCTCTTGACTTGGTGAACAGTTAAAATGGTTTGTAAAATCAGTTTGAAGTCGTCTCTCTGGAATCGATCTACCTCCAACCAAGTTGAGAAGCAAACTGAGAATTCTTGTATTCTTGTATCTCTTTGAACTGTTATGACATCATTGATGAGAACATAGAGGTTCTCATCAACATGATGATGTCAAACAACCCGTCAGCTTCTTGTTTGTTTTAGTTGCTATGGAAACACAAGGAGTTATGAATGGGATAAGATTACTGTCAATCATTGTCCATTAAAATGCATGCGTTGACATCTAAATTCATAAATGTAAGTCAATAAATGTGCATAAATTAAAGTTTTATATTTGTCCTGTTTTCCAACTGATACTTTCTGAATACACTTAACAAGTACTTTGGTCATTTTGAAGCCCTCAACAACTCTCCTGTCATCTGGGTGAGCAGATACTCAGACTGGAGACAGCTGATGTTCAGAGGATCTTGAGAAGATTCAATATGCATAAAGTAACATGTCCTGATAACAGCAGGTCCTTGAGACCTGGTTCTCAACAACTGTGCTGACCAGCTGACTCACGTCCTCACTGACATATTTAACACCTCACTGAGCTGTGCTGTCATTTCATCCTGCTTCAAAATGGCCATCATCATTCTAATGCCCAAAAAACCCACAATTTCATCACTGAATGACTATTGCCCTGTTGCTCTCACTGCCATAATGATGAAGTGTTTTGAGGGGGTGGTGAAGGATCACATCTTCTCAAAACTTCCCTCCTCTTTTGATCTGCTCCAGTTTGCCTACCACTCCATCTGCTGCCCAGAGGACGCTGTGTCCACCACACTGCACTGGAGCCTGAAACACCTGGAGGAGAAGACTACTCATGTGCAAATGATGTTTCTGGACTTCAGCTCAGCATTCAACACAATCATCCTCCAGCGCCTGGTGAGCAAACTAACTCCCCTTGGGCTTAAAGGAACCCCTTTCCCCCCCTGTGTAACTAGCTGCTGGATTTCCTCACAGACAGACCCCAGTTTGTGAGGGTTGGGAAAAATACTTCAAGGGTGATCTCCCTCAGCACTGACTCCCCCCAGGGCTGTGCACTGAGCCCACTGCTCACTGCCCTGTACTGAGCAGTGGGCAGTACTCAACCTGCCAAGCCAGGTTCAGTATGAACCACGTCAATAAGCATGCGGACGATACGACAGTGGTGGGTCTCATCAAGAACAACAATGAACTGGCCTATAGAGAGGAGGTGAAACATCTGGTGGACTGGTGTGATGCAAACCATCTAATCCTGAATGTCAACAAAACAAAATAAATTGTTGATTTCAGAAAAAATCAGCCAAGTAGTGTCAAGAACATTAAATTCCTGGGGATACTGATCTCTGAGCATATAGATATTGAATAAGAGGGGTCCTAGGTTTGAACCTTGGGGCACCACACATGTGACTTCTGTCCACTTCAATGAGAAGTTTTCTATTCAAACAAAGAAATTCCTGTTCTATTCAAACCAGCTGAATACAGGACCAGAGAGTCCGACTCAACTTTCTAGTTGTTTCAGTAACATGTCATGATCAACAGTGTCACATGGTGCACTGAGGTCCAACAGAACCAACACTGTGGTTCGACTACAGTCTGTGTTTAATATTGATGTTACTGAACACTTTGACTAGGCCAGTGAGCCTGGAAACCAGACTGAAAGACATCAAAGCGGTTGGTTATTGTTAAGAAACTATTTAACTGTTTAAGTAGCTTTTTCAATAATTTTGCTCATCAAATTGTTTATCAGTATTATCACCATAGAGACATTTTCTAATATAGTGGACTCCTTCCCATAGCATGATGTTGCCACCACCATACTTCACAGTCAGGATGATTAGCAGGTGATAAGTAGTTCCTGTATTTTCCAAATATGTCAAATTTTAAGTGAGGAGTGGCTTCCATTTCTGTATTAGCAATGATTAACATTTTTATTTCTTGGTCAAATCTCTCTGACCAAAGACCTTCTTCTGTCATCTCTTTCCTGCCAGATCTAGTGCTTACAATTGTCTTCTGTTTCCACATAGATAGACCACAGTGATTTTTGAGTTAACAATACAGAATATATGCCAGAAAAGCAAGAACAGTCAAAATTGGATCAAGTAAACCTAACAAAAAAACAACAACCACAAAACACATCCAAATTATATATTTTTTGTTTTTATTCTTCTTGTAATAAAATATAAACAGCACTGAACACTAATGAATAAACTGAGTGGAATTAATTTCACATTACATAATGACCTGGCCTTATGTAATGCATTAGACAGAGCAATAATAAAATGTGGCTGACAAAAAAAATAAAAAAGTCCCAAACAGAAATAAACGCTGTTGCAGTGAGGTCAGTCAAATGGCTCAGTCAAATACAATTTAAATATATTGGAGAGCTATGCAAATCTGTTGTCATGGAAACCCTTTTTGAACTCTACTGCGACTATCTGTTTCAGTATGGTTGGACTCATTTTGAGATTAGTTTCATAAATTTAATCTACACACTGGACTAGGGGTTATCTGCCAAATATTCTCACTCAAATCACATCCATCATATTGATTCAGGTTTCAGCACAGTGAGGAATTAAACTAAACCTAAAACTGAGAATTTGCTAAGAGATGGCATCAGGTATGTTTCTCACAAGTCAAAGAAATTAAATAAAAACATGTTGAGTTTTATTTTTAGGAGTGTATTTTCATTAAAAGGCAGCAGATGAATTAAAGCCCGAGGATATGAAAGCAAATAAATGCTTTATAGTAATTTTACTGACAACATTGCACTTACAAATATAGATATAATGATAAGAAGTTATCAGGAAGTATGGAATTTTCCCCAAATTTTCCTCTAATTTAAATTCATAACACCTCTGTGCCTGCCCTTTTAAATATTCCTAGTTCTTCTGCTTTTTTTTATTAGTCTGTCAATAAAAACAACAAATATAATGCTAAATAACAGTGGGTTTATTTAGATTTTTCCAGCTGTTATAACATTATCACAGAGCCTTCAAATAAAGTTTAGTAGTTTAGAAGATGTCATAGACAGATAATCAAATGTTTAACGTTATAAGGCTGTTTGTATCATTTGAATGAATGTGTTATGTTTACTCATGATTGTTATCATGTAAAATTTGGGAATTTTAATCCCCAAATGTATTCACAGAGTGAAGCATCTGCAACAAGTGAACATGTACTTGTGAGCATGTTTAATTTATTGATTCATTAATTTGTTGAAAACTCAGTCAGTTCTGAATTTGGCAAATTTCTATGTTTCTATGTTTGTTGTGTTCTAAAGTTGTTTTTACACTTATATACATCTTATATATGTTGGCATTTCTAAAACTTATGTGGAGAAATAGAGAACATTTCTGAAGTAAATGAAGCCTGGCCTGGCGTAGGCTGACAGGAGTGAGGCTAAAACCTTTGCACCATCGGCCCTTTTGACCCTTCTGACCAACACCAGCAGGTGAGGCAGGTGAAGCGTTTTGCCCAAGGACACAAACGACAAGGGTGAACAGACCAGGAATCAAACCGGCAATCCACTGACTGCAGAGCGAACTCCTACCACTGACGCATCATTAATAAGTAATAATAAAAAGTATCAATATACATAAATAGATTAAAAATAATAATGGGAGTTTAGTAGTCTAATGGAATGTCGAATGAAGCTCTTTTGTTGCCAACCTCTGAGGTTTTCCATCCATCACTATCTGCTCCCAGCCTTCCATCAGCGACAGACTCCTTGGTTCTTGCACCTCTTGTCTCCTGACCATTTAGTACTCTGGCCTTTGGGGTTCCTTTGCCTTCAACATTGGCACTAAGGATTCTTCAGATATTGCCATCAGCCTCCAGTCCTATAACAAACCTGTCCTTGCCTCTTTCATTAATCTGAGCCACTGTTGCTGGTTTCCAAGGTTCCTGTGCCTCCATCAACAGCCTATCAGAGCCTTTAGCCACTGTCACCAGTCCTCTGTCCACTGCCTCTTGCAACTTCCCAACACCTTCACTACAAACCTTTAGTCTCTAAGCCTCTTTGCTGCAGACATTCTGAACTGGTCTCCACTGGCCACTGCTTTTATTTTTCATTTCTGGCCCTCCTTCCGAGGCCAATCCACCAACCAGCTCTGGTTTTATGTTGTTGTTTTTTTTACACAGTGTCTTATATTCGGCCATGGCCGAGGGATCCCATTGTCGATTATGTTTTTTTCTGTGCTTGTATTTCTCACTTTCTTGTTCCTTTGAGATCAACCTTAGTTTTTGTTTTTACTTTTGACGAGACTGGATTCTTCTGTTGCTTCTTTGTTGCTGGTTCCTGTTGTTCCTTGTTCCTAAACTGTCCTGTTCTGCTCTTTTTGTAAGCTCACATTTATTTTTTTTTAAAACCTCAACTTTACTTACCTCAACTCAGTCTGCTTCTGGGTCTAGCTACAACCATCGCAGATTAGAACATAAAACAACTATAAACATTAAACAGTATACTGTAGAAATCAGTAAAACAGCATGAAATAACAAATGTTTGGCATTTACAGCAAGAAAAAAAATCAACTGTGTGTCTTATGGACACAGTTCAATCTGGTCTTTCACACTTACAACTGACTTACTTCTTAAATTGCTTTAGGAAAATGCCCACATTCATTGCTCTTTTGGAGTCCAGGATGCTGACCTGAAACCAGAAAAAAATGGAATACGATTTAAATATAAATAGAAAAACAAAGACCCATCTCTAATGCATGCCTGTGTTTTAACACCACAGCACAATCCATTTCCACTGGGTCACAAGATTTGGTTGTAAACTAGTCAACCTCTCCAGATTGATTAGAGTCCTGGGTCCCTATAAATGGTGCACCAATAAATCGCCCAGACGATAAATCGGCCCAATTTTTTTAATTTTGGGAAATCAGTGATCAGCCAATGCTTAAATGAGTAGCATTTTTTTTTAAACAATTACTTCTAAATGTGAGATATTTTTGCCCACTGAATAAATGTACTTGTGTTAAAAGTTTGATTTGTATTAATATTTCACTGTGAGTTTATTGTGTTGTAACATCACTGAGCCATTTTTGTCAGCACTCGCCTCATTCCTGCTGTTGTCCTTAAAGGAGCGGGACCTCGATATACGAGTCGAGGTTCCAGTTGTCGCCGTTGTGCCTCGTAAAGCCGAGGCCGCATCTTCCTGCTGCCCGAACAGCTCCTCAACAGAGCGAACGTCGATCTGGTACTGCTGCTGCCGCACCGCCAGCGTCCAGATGTTCGGCTTCCCGCGCACCTTCTCCTCCGGGATGGGCTTCCAGAAGAAGCTGCGCACACGGCGCTTTTTCCTTGGGTTGTGGTTGGCGGGCGTCGTCGCCAGGGGTGGGGGAGGAGGAGGGGGGAGGGGAGGAGGCGGAGGAGCTTTATGCTGGGCCTCATTTAGGGGGTCAGTCTGTCCAGACATAGAGGACGGGTCGGAGGTAGTAATGGAGGAGGTGGTGCAGCTGCTCTCCTCGCTGCTGCAGCTCTCTGGCTCATTGGTTGGAGATGAACAACTCATAACCAGAACTACAAGAGTCAACACTCAGCAAGGTCTATGCTGAGAAAGTCAATTTAAATAATCTGATGATGTTTACTTCTGCATCTGTTTGCTCTGCAGTCTAACCGCTGCTGATGAATGAAGGTGGGAGTCCCTTCATCTAGTCACACAGAAGAGAGAACACAAATCCAGTTGGTCCATCTTCATCCCGCTGGTGGTTCTCCGTCTCGCTGA